TGGGAAATTACTTAAGTAAGCTGTTAGCTTTTAAATGACATCTTGCTCATAAATCTTGCATAAAAGGCTTTTGGTTTGGTCTGTTTTCAAACAGAGTTTGAGAAACAACACCCAGATTCCTCATGCACAACAGAGGCTCCAAAGTGGTCACAGATGCACATCAATGCCACTCTTGTCTTTTATAGATTCTAACACAAATCCTTTCCCTGACTAATTGGCAAGGAAACCAATTAACCACCATCTTTAACTGCTGCAACAAATCACCCCAACAGGACATTTGGACAAACAAACAGGAAAAAGGAAACTTACTTTATATGGGCAAAGAGGGTCCTGCTTGCAGATGTCAGCAACATGCTGGTTATTGTGCAGAAAGTAGGGGATGTGCTCATCTGGCAAGTTGATGGCTTTGTAGCTGTACAATGGCTCTTCCTGAATGTTTGGGAATTCAGTAGGATTTTCAGCTTGGGAATTAGCCAGGATTTCTTGCAGTAGCAATCCAAACACAAGCAACATAAACATGGCAACCTGTGAGTTCTGTGCTTTATAAATAAAATAGAAAACAAAAAAGAAATTAACGTATCTGCAGCATTTCAAGCACACGGGACGAAATTCAGTCAGAGTCAGACATACAGTCAAAGAATTTGTACTTGCATTTCTGGGGTGGTTTCTTTTTCCTGTAAAGACCAAACTTTCACTGAGAGGCCAGACTGCTCAACCTCAGGATTATCTTTGAATCATTAGTCATTGAGTGTTATTATGCACTACAAACTCCCAGTCAAGCTAAAATGGGTGTGTTTACTTTAGCTAAATGCCAAGGGATCCTGAGAGTTCAGTGTGGAAACCAAGTATAGAGCATGTAATGTCCAGTGAGAAGGGGAAAAAAGTGCAAGAGCTGGGGGGAGGGGTGAGAAAAGAAGGATTTTTAGTTTTATAATAAGTATGAAAAAAACACATTCTCCATTTTGAACTAATAATTGGCTGAGGGAAAAATAGGCAGACACAAATAGAGGGTCACAGCTAAGACTTACAGGATGCCTGTTTTTAGTGCTTAACATCATGTTAAAGAAACTTGACTACTGAGTATATTCTATATATAATTTTATACATAATAGAAGTGTATTTATATATATACACATGTACACACACACAGGCCCACACATCTGTGTACCCTAAAGCTGATTGCATTCCTTCCTGCTAACACAACCTTCTCATCTAACACCTCTGCTTTGAACCATTAAACTTTCAGAGGAAATGTATGGCCTGTATCTAAACTCCACCTTTTTTGGCGCTATAATTTGCTAAAATTTGCATGCTTGCTTTCAAGTGAAGCCTTTAGCAAAATTCCTACGATACAAGCAGTTTTACCTGTTTGGTTTGAAAGGAACCGCTTCAGCTTTCCCAGGTACAGAAACCTAGCGCGGGGGAGGAAGGCGGAGTTGGGTACGTCCTGAAAAAGGAGATTTGCTCAGTGTCCTGCTCCTGGGGACACTGTCCTGCTCCTGGGGACAGATCCCAGCAAGGAAAGCAGCTGGCACAGCCCGGGCACTGCGCTGAGCCGGCTCTCGGGTCCTTTCCCCGCACACAGCCGGGGCTCGGGCTATTCCACACGCATCCCCTCTCCCATCACCAACCCGGCCGTGGCCCCAAAACACGCGGCCCTTCCCCACCCCTGGGGCTGTCACTCGGGGAAGGAGCCCGGCATCCTGAGCCAGGCCGTGCTGGGTTCCGTGATAGACCCAGACACAGACCCGGACCTGGTGCCTGACCCACGCTTGTCACACCCACGCTGGACCCGGCACCGCCGCCCCGCCCTGCGCTCCCCTGCCCCGGCACAGCATCGCATCTCACCGCGTGTTTTACCGCGTATCTCACCGCGTGTTTATCTCACCGGGTGTCTCAGCCCCGCGGGCCCCGAGGAGCCCCGCGGCCCACGGGACCGGCCGCTGCTCCTGTTGGGCGCTCGCCGCCGGCCTCAATCCCCATGTCCGGGGGCAGCGCTCGGCGCGGCCCCGCCGGGCTCCGTGCGGGTGCGAGGGAGGAGCGGGCGGCACCGCCGGGACGGGACCGCCCCGCCCGGGGCGGCGGGAGCGGGGCAAGGAGGGAAGGAGGCAGGGAGGGAAGGAAGAGCCGCGGGCCGGGGCGGAGGCGCAGCGCCGGGCGCGGGTCGGGCTCGGCTCGGCTCGGCTCAGGTGGGGCCCGCAGCGAGGGCACCTGCCCGCGGGGAGCAGCGGCGGAGCAGCCGCTCCTTCCTTCTGCTGCCGGAAATTAAGCGCTGCCGGCCGGAGAGCGGCGGGCGCAGGATGCGGAGGAAAAGGGCCTTTTCCTGCCGCGGCCCGGCAGGAAGCGCAGGCTCCGGCACCCCATTGTTGCGGGCGGCCCCCCGAGCCCGGGCCGGCAGCAGCGGGGCCGGGACGGCCGCGGGCACGGGCAGAGCTCGGCGGTGCCGCCCCGCTGCCCCTGGCACACGGCAGCGCCCCTGCCCCTGCCCGCGCCCCGGCCTGACCCAATTCCCGCAGTGACGAGCGCCGGGGGAGGCACAGGCGCCAACACCGAAGAGCTTTGAATCCTCCCCACAGCCCAGACCTCCTCTCCCTCGTTCCCAGGTGGGAAAAGAGGAACAAACGCTCAGCCCGAGCCAGGAAACCTGCGAGAGATGCTGACCCCGCAGGGACACCGCTTACCTGGATAAAGGAAATTAGTCTGAATTTCACATCATCCACAACCCCATCGCTGCGGTGCATTTAGAAATAAAGCAGCCCCTCGTACATAAATACCCACGGTACCGCAAGACTTCTACTGCCACCTGTACCTGTAGCTCAACTATATCTGCTATCTTCTACCTTAAATAATATTTTCCGTTCACAGCACTGGGTTCACACCCATCCACCCACCCTCCCCAGAATTATTTTTAAGTCTTTTCTCAAAGAGAACCAGGCACAATGTTAGCGGAAAATTTTATTTTATGCTGGCCCGTGCTTTATACAGTTTATACATATTTTACAACTAGAAACCAAAGGGTTCAATTTCACTGTGATAACCATTTCACCTCCTATTAAGGATCATTATAGCCCTTAGTAAAATGTAAGCACATAAATTACAACATGTAGCGGGAAAAAAAATAATCGTTCTTTCATGTGAATTTGACATGGGATTTTGAGCATGGGCTCTTGAACTCCTAAAGTGAGTACCAGAATAATCTATCCCTCATCCAAATCCACCTACAACCAGAGGCCTTTCCATCAGCAATTCAGCTCCCTCCAAACTACACTGAGTAACCTTTAAATAACATTTTTCATACTTGCTTATCCAGTGAAAATGAGAGCTAAATTAGTTACTTTCAAAAGGATGTTCTAAAATAATAAATCTAGACAAAAGTGAGTACTAGAATTCTACCCTAATTCCTTTCATTTTGCACGTTACTCTTCTAGGCAGTCTCAGTAAGAGCAATGAATTAAGTGTGCCAAGCAGACATTAATGTTTCTTCAAAACAAGCATACAGTTAGATCAAAGATGAGCAAACCAGGATATTTTAAAGTCTATGTTACCTTCCAACAGCCACTTTGTTTTCTAAGGCTTTGATGATTAAGACACAGAAGGTCATCTGATTCTCAGGTGATATTAAAGATTGCACTACAAGGGAATATAGAATCCAAAAATAATCAATACAAATATTTACATCTACTTTAATAAGATTTAAAAATCTAATACCTTTTGTGTTTTTACATCTAAAACAGTTAATGCTGATTGCATGTTAAAATTTCCCTTTTACCTAAGCTCTTGTAAACAAGATAGCCCAAGACATACTCAGAACTGTCAGTCCTTCAGGACTATAAAATAATTTATTTTTCTTTGCTGCATTTGTCTGCCAAGATCATAAAAAAAGGTGAAAACCAGGAAGTTATTGATCCGCTGTAGTAGACAAAACAGAATTTCTAATCTTTGACCATCACAAAGAGTTGTTTTCTTAAGAAAAGGCTCAACTAACCCTTGTACATCATAATTCTAAATCAATAAAATTCCAGCAAGTGTTTTAAAAGGGACTGATTTTTTCTCAGGTTTGATTGGTCTGGGGTTTTCCAGAAACTTAAGAGTAACCAACCATGCTTTAATATGAAGGCAAAGTGTTAAATTCTGAGGTTTTTGGAAGAAAAATCGTACCACCATGGTTTCCAAAAACGAAATAAATACAAGAGGGTAATTCCCTCCCACCTCCCAGTGAAAAAAAAAAAAAAGAAGAAGGGAAAAAATATTTTTATTAAAGCAGTTAGAAGTTTCTATGACAGATGGGGAGTTACAACAAATTTAAGTGTTCTGGCTCTATGGTTTTAATGAAATCCTCACAGAGTAACTGCCTGAATCTCAAATCAGACTGGGATTTTCCATGAACATTCCCTTGCTTGTGTAACTTCAGTGAGGAATAAATCCTTTAACACCCATAGTAAAATCATGTTACCAAGAGGCATTTCTGCAGAAGCAACTCCTCATCCTTCCCATCTTTTGTGTGTCAGGCCACCAAATACCCAAGCAGGGAAAGAGTTCCCAAATTATAACGTGCACTGGTCTGGGAAAAAAAACCTCTCCCAACAGAGGCACTGATGTGATAAGCAAAGAATTTCAGCTGCCCAGTATTTCACACGAGTAGGTTCTGAGATGCAGCAAAATATTTGCTCTCTGGAATGCAGAGAGGAAGACACAGCTCCTTCTCAGCATTCCCAAGGGTCCCATTAAACATTTCCTCTGACATTACCAAAAATGCAGCTCAGCTCCAAGTCATGTGAGTGCTGTTTGGCCAATACCTTGCTGAAGGAATGGCATGAGAAATACTCTGCAGCCACTGGAGACTTGCTCTATGATTAAACCACAGTTCAGTGTTACAAGAAGTCTAACCCTTGCTACTTATATAAAAGGAACCATGAGATCTGCAGCAATTTATTTTTAAAAAATCAGTTTCCTGCATTCTTCTGAACTGTTCTAGCTACTGGTAAAAATCAGCTACTAAATCTAGAACAGATATTTAATAGCTGAGATTTCTGGTGTTAAAAGTTGAACACATTTATCATTACAAGCAGAGCTGCTGTCTCCAGACTACTCAAGCAATATACAAGATGAAGCTGTAATTTGAGGTCTCATCTGAGTCTCACACTCTGCTTTAGAGGACTTAGTGTAAAGAAGTCAGACTAATCTGATTTGTCTAAGAATAATCACCCTGACATGTTCAGATGTTGTAAGCACAAATTTAAGATTTTCCTGTCATAAAAATATCCACCAGGTATGCTTCAGACAGAAGTCCCTGCTACTTAGTTATTAAAAATTACCTGATGAGATTTTAGAAAAACTCATATGAACACCTGAGACAGACTTCTAAAGTGATTTTCACAGGTTTACAGAGATTATGAATCAAGGGCTGCTTTAGTACTACTCATGCCTTCCAGTGCTCTCTCACAAATTAACAATCAAAATTTCTGCTTTTTATGTAAAATGGCCCACCATTTAGCAAAAACTTAAATAAAGGGATGACTGAAGAAAAAAAATTAAATATTGCACAAATAATTTAACTGCAGACAGAACAGGACACTTAAAGCATTGATTCTTCTGTCAACATATGAACTCTATTATATAGTCACATTTTCTATAATACAGGGGATTTTTACAGGACATTTAAATTCAGCATTTACAAAAACAGTTCTCTTTACAGTCTGTCACCATACAATGCTAACAGCTCCACCAGGAATTAATTTTGTCTCTGTTTTAATAGTTCATCTATCTGAGTCTTGTACATGTTTTTCACATCTTCCAGATCCAGCCGGAGCTCCTCAGCCTCCTCTGCCTTCTCCCCATACATCTGGAGAATGGTGTTGTACCTCTGATCCAAGTCCTGCAAGGATTTTAACACAGAGTTAAATCACTGCTTCTTATTCTCAGCTTCAAACAAGCTGCTCTGGACAGTGTTTTACACTGCCAGGGGAAATAAAAGCAGCACCACCCCATCAAAGTGTAACCACAGTGAAGCACTCAGTAAACTTCAAAAGTACTTTGTGCTTTGAATACAGCTGGATTTATATTCTAGATGTTAAAGGAAGATATTCCAAACATCATAAAAAGAATTAGTGCTGGCTTCAGAGGACATTCTGAAGCACCTTGAAGTTCAGTTGCTATAAGCATTAAAAACAGTTAGAAAACTGCATTGGTTTACTACAGGAATGACCAGTCTGAGAAATGGGAAAACTGAACATTCTGCATTCAAAAATTATTCCAAAACTTTTCAAATATTTCAATTAAAATTCTTAAACATCCAATTATTTATCCTATTTCTATATATGTATCTCTACTGGACATATAGTCAGCTTCTGCATCAAGCTCATAAGCCCATGCTATTTATCAAAACCCTTCCTCTACTAAAAAATCCAGTTCCAGCCAAGTTCCTAAATGATAGAAACAAAAATAGTTTCTCCCTGGTTTAGCACACAGTCTTATGCACAGCACACATTTCCAACAACTGTGTTTTGAAGTGACTCCCTAACCATGGAGTGGGCATTTTTAGATTCTATTATATATAAAATAAAATATAAAAAAAAAAACATCAAAAACCAGGCTCTTCAGTCACTTATGCTTAGGGACAGATTTGAATATATTCCTAAACTGATAGGACTACTCCTAAAGAAATACAATTATCTACATTTTATGATGGATTTACAGCAGAAATGCACTTACCTTTAACTGTGTGCGTAATTTGGGTATTTCCTTCACTTTTTCTTCAAGTTCATCATTTTGATTTGTTAATTTAACGAGCTCTTCTGCCATTATTGATCGAGTTTTCTCCAGGTTTCCAATTTCCAGCTACGGTAAACACACATAACAAGGAGGAGAAGGAAAGAATTCACTGTATTTATAAAACAACATATCAAAATACAGGTAATTAAGGTTTATTCTCAACCAGACTGTGAAACAGCACAACTCAGATCCACTCTCCCTTTCTCCTCAAACCTCAGTGTCCTGGATATTTTAATTTTCAGACAGATAGGTTTTCTGGATAGGTCCTTGCCAAAACAAAAAAGGAACCAACAAATTCTTCTTGTGCTCATCCCTACACAGCTGTGCTGGTTCACAGAATTCTTGTAACACACACCAAGCTTTCTGAAAAGATACCTGTAGATGTGAAATCTCTCCTTCTCTTAGTTTTAGCTGTGACTGAAGGTTTTCAATTACACTTGAACCTGATCCCATCCTTATTGCATCATAGAGATTGCTGCCACTGGTAGTTATTGGTCCAAACGAGTGATCATGAGGATCATCCTACAAACAGAAGGTTAGAGAAGCTGAAAATTAGACAAAAACATGGCCATTTTGGGATCTTCCCTCTCCTAAATATGGCATAACTTAAGATTTTAAATACATTGTGCTAGGGAAGCATTTCAATGCTTAAAGTTTGTTTTCAAGGGCTGTGCCCTAAACCAGGAGTGCAAGTAAAAATAAATCAATTGTATGTTTTACAGTCACAGACATCTTGTGAGCAGATTTTAGATGTTTCTGCACAGGATGTTACCTTGTCTGAGGCCAATACACTCTTGAAAAGAGTCATTTTCTGCATTACTAGAAGTTCTTGAGGAGGAAAGTAAGTGAAGCAAGTGGTCTGTCAAGAAGAAAAAAGCCATTATAGGTGAACTATCCTACCTGGGAGAGGAAAGAGGTCTGAAGACCTGCCATGTCCACCCCACTTATGGAACTGGAGCGGGACATTGACGGTGTACTTGATACAGTTTCAACTGTGAAGGACTTCCGGTCCTTAAAAACAAACAGAGACATCCAATATCACCAGTTGGAAAAGGAAAAAACATTCATAACAGGCTAAAAGAGATTCTATAAACAGCCTCCCTTTTTCCACCAACTACAGAACACTCTGTGATAGATTCTCTACTTGCCCCATACCTAAAATACATGAAAGTTCAACAACAAAGAATTTCTGTGCTGAAACAGCCCATCTTAAAGATCATGGACCTTTCAGGAAATTAAGACAGAAGCTGCAAATTACAGCAAAAAAATGTTCTCTTTCAAGTAGCCAAGAGAGACTCAGAGGATGGTTTGTACATCCAAGTGTATCACAAAAAGAACATCTCACACACAGAAGAACATCTCTTAGAATGAATTTTAAGGCCTTTTTCTTCTTTTTAAATAAAGTGTAAGGATTAAATTCCAGGATTTTCCACATGCTAACAATTATTGATACATCTAACAATTCATTATAACAATTTATTGATACCTCTTCAAGTCTGCCCCCCTTTTCCAGGCAGCATCTACAAGCATGCTAACCTCTGAAGGGGAAAGCACTTAGATTTCAGGACTGGAGACAGTAACAAACAAACAACAGAAATAGTTTTACTGAATGCTAACTGCTAATTAGTGGTAATGAATTTAATGACTATTGAGGATTGCTCTGTGACTTGTGACTTCAGCTGGAAAGCATGTGGAACACTGCACACTGAAACAAAACAGGAATTCAGTGGAAGCAATGCTGGTAAGTCTGAGCAAAGGAAACAAGTAGCTTCAAAACAAAAAGGATCCAAGAGTGCTCAAAGAACACAGAGGATTAAGACAACAATCCATATTTTACCTCTTCTCAGGTTAAATAGATCATTGCTCAAAACTTATTTCAGTGAGTCTTACACAACACCTATTTCATTGGAAAGACACTGCCAGGCACTAAAAGTTTCAGGTTTAGAGGTCTACTAAAATAAAGACAATATCAGTAAGACTTATAAATGTTGGGTTTTGGCACCTTCTCCTTTGCTGCTTCTTGGACAAGAACAGCCTTCTTCCTCTCCTGTTCAACCTTCATCTTCTCCATTTCTAACTGAGTAGCCAGTAGTGCCTGCAAAGAGAAATAAAAGCTGTTAATCTCCTGCTAGATCAGATTTCAAGCATAACAGAGATTAAAGCTGAACTAGGCAATACCTTTTCTTTCTTTGCATCTTCCAAGGTTTTTGCATACTCATCCTTGAGCCCTTCTAGTTCAACCTCATACCTACACAGAGGAAGGAAAGAGGTAAAGTTAATAAATAAGTATTCTCCATTTTATTCCCTGTATATTCAGATGCTTTAAAAACAAACACAGCTGCAAGGCTACAAAATGTTATCAATGTAACACTTTTAAATCTTTAGAATGAAACAAACTATCCAAAAGGGGTTTTTTTGTAACATTGTGCCAACACTGTCAATACCACCACTCCATTTCACTACATTAAAAAGAAATGCTGTTAACCAAAAATGAACTCACCTGCTGTTCTCATTTTCCATTTTCTTTAATTTGTTTCTCTCCACTTCCAGCTGAGCCTGAAGACGGGTATTTTCTTGCCTTAAAAGACTATTTTGAGATTCAGAAGAAGACATCTGAATTTTGTTAGCAAGAAGTTCCTCTGTAGCAGCCCGTTCTCTCTCAGCAGAGGCTGCTAGAAGAGTTTGGGACTCCCCTAATAGTAAGAAAAAATATGGAATTTAACCTTTTTTGATTAAATATCTAGAATATCAGCCACTTACTTATATATCAAAATTGAATTTGTGATATTTTTTTTACATGCAACTAATCTTTCTTAAAAAATACATCTTGTTTTCTTTTGTAAAGGAAATGAAATATTTTCCACACACAGAGGATCAAAGCAATGCAGAATGAACAGATTTCAGCCTCTTTCAGAATGCAGTATACAACTACAGATTGTTTCCAGAAAGGAAACAATTTCTTTGGGCTTTTAATGTATTTTTTGGGCTTTTAATGTATTTTTGGGCTTTTAATGTATTTTTCAATTAAAACAATAAGTTACTACTGTATCAAACAATATATAATCAGCTATGCAGGTAAATGATATGTATAATCACAGAATATATCATGTACATAGAATCATGTACATATATTGGTAATATAATACAATATCATTATAATATGATTATACAATATGTGTATCATCACCTAGTCAGGTAAGTGATTCCAAACTTTACAATTGGGAATCTCAGCATCAGCCTAGAATATTTTCAGTGTCTCAAAGCCCTTAGGTGCTGTGAGGACATGTACACCTTACAGTCTCATGTTACAGAGTTTTTTACAGTGTTTTACCTGCCCAAGAACCTGGGCATAACCCCCCAGACCATTTCCTTACAGGAAAGCATTTGGTGCTCCTCTCTCCTGATCCACCATCTACACTTTGGGCAAGTGTTAATTTAAGCCCTTGACATTTATCTTCCCACATCTCACATCTTCACCCAGAGCCTCCCACCTTACCCAGCCTGTCAGAAAGGTTCTTCTCCAGTTTCTCCCAAGCAGAGGTCTGGGCTCCCAGCGTGGCCTGCAGGTTCTCAATCTGCCTCAGCAGGGGCCGTGTGGCAGAGGTCACACTCTGGCTCAGCTCTTGGTTCCTGCTCTCTGCTTCCTGGAGTCTCTGAAATCACAAATCAAATATAATTTAAATCATATGATGGACTGAAAGATTTGTATGATGGACTGAAAGATTCATACAGAGTTCATCTAAATAAATAGCAGCTGCTTTACATTCTAAGATGACTGCTTTACAATCTCATGTTCATGTGGTTCAAACTCAAAGTGTGAAATTCCAGGAGAGAAGTAAAACATTTTTAGATACATAATAGAGAAAGGGCCCAAAAATTCCAGAGCATCATTTGAAACATTTTGGCAACAATCTATATTCTGGCCCTTAAGAGCAATAAAAATATTCTTAAGAAGCAGATAAAGAGTCATCCATAGTGCATTTGCCAACAATTTTAGACAACTATCACAAAATTAATGTCTGTATTTTGTCTCGTATTAAAAAAGGACAGCATTCTATTTAAGAGGCATCATAAAAAGCTAAGACAAATTTTTCCACTATGTGATTTAAAAAAACATTTCCATTAATATTTTTATTGCTCCTCTGTAAAGGACAAGCACTGCAGGTAACAAGGAAAATAAAGCCTCTCTTTCAGGCTGCTCATGCATTGGTACCATTTTATTTTTGGGTTTTTAGAAGTCCTCCTTGTAGATGCAAGTGGGCATCATCTGTTTATTCCAGTACCTGTTGTAGTTCACCAATTTCCTGCCGTAAATAATCTTCTTTTCTTGCTGCCTGCTGCTCTGCACGTTGCAGTGCCAGCCTCAGGTCTGCCACCTAAATAAACAAGAAATTGTTGCTAAATTCTTGCCAAAAGTTCTATCATCACCTATTCCTTGCCACAATCCCACACCATTTTCAAACAGTAATATGTTTGTCTGCAAGTAAAAGCTTTATTTTTGCACGTACACAAACAGTTACACTGATTTATTTATCACTAAAAATTCTAACAGGTAAGAGTACCACAAACTTAATATAGAGCCTGTCAAAGTAATTTCATCTAGATAGGTAAAATTATAAATACTTTTAAATAAAATTAGTATTTTAAAGGTTAACACAAGCAGTCCATGAATATGGAACAAGTTCCACAGGGAAGAAATCCTGTGGGTATTTGCTAAGTACACAAAAACGAGTTCCAGCTGGTGCATTCCATCAGGTGCACACAGCAGTCAGTGCAGTCACCTGTTGATTTACAGAGGTTATTGCTGCATTTCAGACCCACCTGGATTGCCAAAGCTTCCTGCTGCTGCCGAGCCTCCTCCTGGGCCTTTTCCAGTGCTAACCCAAGCTCCTCCTTGGCCTTCATCTCCCGACTCAGGGCTGCTTCCTGAGCCTCACTGTCCTTTGTGGCATTAGCTTTATGAAGATCTGCAAGTTCCCTGAGGAGAAAGAACCAAACAAAGAAATAAACAAACCCCAGTTCGTTTAAATGCCAACAGCAACTTGGAAAGTAACTTTGTTCCATTTAAATATTTCACAAGCATTGCACAAGAAAGAGCCACAATCTGAAGGTGTGATTGCTTTGCTTACTTGTAGGCACTGTCGAGTGCTGCCTGCACACTCCTGTTTCTTTCTTCAAGTTCTTCCACTTGTGCCTGAAGTTTAGTAAGGTCCTTTTCTTGCCTCTCCACAACACTGTTCAGCTGTTTAATGCTGTCTCGATGCTGCTTCTCAAGGTCCTCCTTGCCATCAAGCACCTGTCAGGGCAGACAGGAAACATGAAACAAACCCCAGGACATGGGGCTGACAGCACTGCCTGAGGACAGGGACAACAGTGGCAGCCAGTTTGGCTAAGCCCATCTAACACCTGGCAGAAAGAGAAAGGTTTTGCTTCCCTGCTTTCCCCAGAGAAGGGAGCTGCTCCTCACCACAGTTTCACACAACTCCACATCCTGGGTCTGAAATTTGTAAAGTTTTGACTCAATCAGTAACTGTCCAAATTTTGGTGGTGCAGGTTTTCCAGCTCACATGGTAACAGCAGTGCAAGTGCAAACAAACAGCTGAGAAGATCCCTCACTGCAGTTTTACAAGGAATACACACATAAATCACAACTCAGTGCTCCAATAATGTGAAATTGTGAGAGCCTGGCACAGATTGCCCAGAGAAACTGAGACTACCCCATCCCTGGCAGTGTCCAAGGCTGGATGGGGCAGGGAGAAGCCTGGGACAGTGGAAGGTGTCCCTGCCCATGGCAGGGGATAAAACTGGATGGGCTTAAGGGGCCCTTCCAACCCAAACCCTTCTGGGATTCTATGAAACAAAGATGTCTCCAGAAAACAAAAAAAAAGTCAATTTATCAAGAGCATTCCCAAAAGGCAATTTTGCAGCTAACATAAAAACTTCTAAAAAAAAAATTTCAACAACTATCTTACCTGTTTTAAATGCTGCAACTCCTCTTCCAATTCCTTAATCTTCTTGCTCTGTTTTGTGTTAACATTTTCTCTCTCTTTCTCTTTGGCTCTTAATTTCTTAATAATGTTGGAATTCTGCAGCTGCTGTTTGGAAAGTTTTTCTCCTGTGAAGAAATTGAACATGAAGCCAGTGCATATTGGTGATATCCTATGGATTGTCTCTATTCACATCAAATTTGCTCTTTAGCTTCATGAAAATAATACTACAGGAAATATGGAAATACTTGTTCTTACAATTTTTCATGCAAGTTCTTAAATTTAAAGCTATCTTATCCTGAGATACCTTTGCTACACTGAGCTACAGTGAGAGAGGATAGGATGTAAAAGGCTTTGAAAATTAAGCAAGTGAGCTCATCATGTTAGAAAAAAATTTATCTTCTCATTTAGTATCTATAATTCAATTCCAAAATTAAGAAGTATTAAAGCAGACACTGTAGAAATGCCATGAACAATGCCCTCATTAGATTTCTTCTGAATGGAACATGGAATGCTGTTCTGCACATGCTGGTTTTATCCCTCAGCAGCTTTTACTGCATCTTGCAGGAATCACCTCTGCAGCCACCTGCACCTGCCAGACCCCTCCTGTTACTCTTTGCTATTCACTAAATGCTTAAAACATTCAGAAACATCCAACAGGCTTCAAATTTAGCACTTTTTACCCACACAACAAGGCTTGTGTGCAAGGCCACCACACTTCAAACTATCCTACACATTTTTACTACCAAAACAAAAAATTAATTCTCACCTTCCTCCATTAATCCTTTGATTTGCTCTTCTTTTTCTTTCAATAATTCAGCAGTTTCATTGGTATTAAGTCTAGTAGCCAATTCCTCTTTAACAGTCTTTACTTCCTAAATAATAGGATAAAATACTTAAGATTGTTTATTAAAATACATGGAGAGAAAAACACAGAGTGAGTTACACTGATCACCTTGCTCTTCTGCCCTTCCTCTCACAAGACTTTGCTTGGAAAACAATTTAGGTTGGAAGGGAACTCTGGAGATTATCTGATCAAAACAGATTGCTCAGAGCCTTATTGCATCAAGTTTTAAAAACCTCCAAGGATTGCAACTCTGCAAATCCTCTGTACAATTTGTTCTAACTTCCCCATCAATTCAATTTTCTTGAAACTTTTGCAAGAGAGAAAAACCAACCTGTCCTATTCACACGTAGCTACTGAATAATTTTTCCAGTTCAACTCACTGCTGTGTCAACACAGTGACAAACAGCTGAAAAATATTCGGTTTTCAGTCAGATTTGAGTTTCCTCTCTGCATTAAGCTACAGAAATTAAATGCTGTGACACCAGGTCAAGAACATTTAAACCCCATAAACTTTGCTGCTGTGTAGATTTCTTTGCTTGTTCCAAATCAATCTGCCATCAGCCCTTAATTTTCCTTCCAGCTAATCCTCTAAAGAAGCCATTCCCATTCTTCACCCCTTCCTCACATCTCCCTCACCAATGCAAATAATTATTTGGTACAAGGTGAATGAGACCACACATTAAATCTCTTTTTCCCCAATTAAATGAGTTCCCCAAGCTGGTTGACAGCATGGATGCAAGAACACAGATTTGAACACCGAGCAGCCTGGATGGCTGGAAACAGCTCATGCTGGTCACTAACAGCCTCATGCTTCTCCCTGGGTTAATATTAATTGTTTTTCCTCAAGAAATTCAATTGTGTCATAAACTAATAAATATTAATTTCATGAAAAAAGCCAAATCACCTTTTTAGCTGCATCTCTCTCTTTGCAGGCTAGTTGGAGTTTCTTTTCAGCATCTGCAATTCGCTGAGCAAACTCCTCTTTAAGAGATGAAAGGCTGCTGCTCTCTTCTTTCATTCTAAACATTTCACTGCATTTAAAATGAACATTTCAGAACAGTTGCATGGGTATGTGACACTCCAAACACTTTGCAACAAGTTGCCTTAAATGCTTTTCAGAAGTATTTTACTTATATTACACATGATAAGCTAAAGTCAAAAAACCTCACATATGTATCAGAAGTCCTAATCAAAGATCTTTATCAATTCAGTAGTTTACCCATGAAAACAACTAAATGTTTGACTTAGCTTAAATGTTTTCTCCTTGAAAAAGTCCTTTTTAGTTAACCATAATCTGTATCATATAAAGGGTAAATTATTTCATCTATTTTTAAAGTTAGGATCAATTTGGTCATTAAAAAACAGCATCATATATCTGTAAATTTTATAACTCTGTATTTGATCAATGAGCTGGTAAATACAACTTCCCACTTTTTCCCCTTTTAACTTAACCAAATTAAATAATAATTTCAGGTTTTCCCCTAAACCAGCCCTTCTTCCACACCTTCACTACCTACATTTTAGTCAACAAAGTTGACTATTTACTTAGTAAATCAGGATCATCCCTCTGTATCAGCAGTCAGTCTCTCTTAATAGCTGAATCCAGTCTTATAATAAAGATCTTTATTAGAAACCAAGACTGATTCTCCACATTGTCATTCCTACTGCTTGCTTACTGAAAACTCTTTCCCCAGCCCCCTCCCAAAAGAGATTTTAGCTCCAAAAAATAACATGTGTTTAAAAATCCCATCACAGCACATGCCATCATTATTGCCACCTTTCCCAAACAGTGCACATCCCCTGTAACCTTTGCTCCAGTCACAAAGCTCCTTGTTTGATCTATAATCTAACATTTTATTACAGCAAAGTCAATGACAGCACTGGGTGTATTTTCATACTTACTCTTTGAGGTTATCATAAGCTTCCTCCAAGCGAGCCCTCTCTTTGCTGGTGCTTAATAACTGAATTTCCCTCTTCTCCAGCTTCTCAGTTAATGCATCAATCATCTGGACAAGGTTTTATAGATACAGAGCAGATTAATGGGACAATTAAAACACAAGAGGGGCAGGCTTTCCCTTCTCCCCCCTCCTATTCCCTCACAAGACTATTTAAAATTGAACTGGTCAATGTTTCAGGAATTTGGGGCAGAAGTCAGTCAGGATTATCATGTTTCTGCCACACACCTGAACATAAAGACAACTGTTTTCTCTAGGTGTAGAAATCCTACTAAATCAGCACATGTGGCTCAAGTAAGTTCCTCAACAAAATCATCAGCTGTGATACAGTTTAATTTTACATGAAGCTTTTAACTAGAGCTGATAGTCTATAAAACCATGGCTTACATTAAACATGAAGACTCACAATGTTCTTTACAGAATAATTTCTATGGGAAGGTCTTCTCTGTGAAGCATTAGCACAAAGCAACAGAATACCCTCAGATGAGGGAGGAAAACTTTCACTCAGAGTCAAAAGCTCTTGGGTCACATCCTCAAAATAATTTCTTAATATCAAGTTTTGGAAAGTTGAACATTGATAACAAAAATACAAGAAAATATGCAAATGTAAACACCAAAGAACTAAAATAACACATTTGACTTATTAGGCTTCCTGTTTGCCACCCTTACTCAGAATTCACAACAATGACAACCAGGTGGGTCAGGTGAAACCCACAAGTATCTGATCAGAAATTTTACCACTCTGTTCCACTGCAGGATATCAGGGACAGTTTTGTACAGGGTCAGATAGCTCAGCATCAATTAATGCATTCAAATAAGCTGATGTAGGAGATACAGGACAATGTAAGGGAATGTCAGGAGTCTCATTTGCAATTAAAAGGTGTGTTTGCAATACATGTTTTATTTACCTTTTTAAGCTCTTGCTTTTCAGTGTCCTGTTCTACCAATGGTTCCCCAGCATCCTGCTGGGGCTCGGCCTCCTCCTTCACCACCTGTTCTTCAACAGTTTGCACAGCAGCAACCAAAACCACATCTGGCTGCTCAGAATTAACAGGAGTTGCACTTCTCCCACTCTCTTCCATCTCAGCCTCCTCAGCATGCAGCACAGGAGCATCATTCAAGTTCTCAGATTTATTTTTCAGGGCGTCAACCGTTTCTGCCTTTGGCACGGAAGGACTGACAGCGACAGACGCCGAAGCAGAAGCCCTGCCTGATAACTCATCATCTGAATTTATTTCACTGACACTCCTGCTGTCCAAGGACTGCACACTGAATGAATCAATTCTTTCAAAGGCATCCGAGGAGCCACAGCTCTCAGTCATTTTCTGGAAGTCCTCTAAGCGATTATAATCCGCGCAGGCAGACGTGGACAGGAGCTGGAACGACGTCTGCATGAGGTGAAGGCTGGATTTGGAATCTGCAGCTTCTTGTCTGGAGCTTACTGAGCTCTCACTTATCACACTTTCATGGTCCAGAACTTCAATATCACTGGTGGTGGAAGTGCCTGAGGAGAAGGTGCTGATGGGAGGTGATGGGGTATTGCTTTGTCTGTCCTCAGTCTTTCTCTCCTTCCCCTCCAAACCCAGGTCTTTCGTGCCTGCTCCAAGGGGCTGAGCAGTGCCCTCAGGTGCACCCCCTGCTCCATCCCCTCCCACACTGGATTTTTCAGTAGGAGAATCTTCAGGTTCTTCAAAATTTAGAGCGGACACCTTTTTGTCAGTAGCTTCATTTGTGCTTGCTTCATGCTGGCCATCAGACTGAAGCACAGCATTCTCTTCCAATTTCTCCTTGGGAATATCAAGGCTTTTCAAGTCCAGGACAGCTCCAGAGGAATCCTTGACCTCTGTCTCTGCTGCCACTGGCCCTTCCAGCTGACTGAAGTGCTGAGACTCCTTCAAAGTGCTTTTCACCTCCTCTTTGGGTCGCTGTGATTTGGCTGGAGGCTTGGACACCACTGGGTTTTTCTGTATACTCTGAACGTCTGTTGGGGAGAGAAAGGCACTGAAGAAATTTTCAGATTCATCCACAACCGTCCTCCTCACGGGCTTTGTGATGGCTGTGGGTGATACTGGCTGGTTCTGGGGTTCTGCAGTTGAGTTCAAGCCCCAGGATGATGTGTCCCATCCTCCACTTATGAGAGAATTTGTTCCTAAAATAAAGGAAAAAAGGGAGATAGGCAAATAAACCCCACTTTGAAGGCTACAAGCAAAAGCAAAAATTCCTGCTTCCCTACAGTGAAAGGAGTCCAGGCAAAACAACATGAAAAGCTGTAGTTAGGAGAATTACACTGATTAAAAAGGAGGAAAAAATTACAAGGTCTTAAAAGTTATCTGCAAATAGCACATAAGCACTTCACACACCATTACAGAAGAAGTGGAAAACCTTTGAGTATTTGCAGCATTTACATTGTAAGAAGGGTTCTTGCCCTTCAGTTTCTGACAAGATTTCATTTTTCCTCATACACCAAGCATCAGCATAGAGCTGACAATAAAAATCAGCAGCAGCCCAGCTGAGAATTTTCCTCTTCTGTAGAGAAATACTGAATTGTTCAGTTCTGAAGCTGCCCTAAAACAACATCAACAATTCCAATTATTGTATTTCTTGCAGCTTTTCCAGGACTTGTCAACAGCAAGAACAAGAATTTCAGCATCAAATTTCAGAAGCATCTGAAGTAAGAAAGAGAAGTCAAAAAACAGTATCCAATTTTGTACCTAAAATACAATCTGGGTAACATAACTATTTCAGGCTACTTAAAAACAAACTCACTCTATACAGCAGCATCTATTAAAAACTGAGTTACAATATTTAAAGCTGGCTTCTACTTTCAGAACAATTGATAGCTGTTGGCCTCAAATCCAAATTACTGTTTTCATTGCCCAAAATACTACAAACATGTGATTTATTACTACAAACATCTCACTTATTGATACCTTGTCCATGATTCAACAGCTTCAGAAAAAGCTGAGTTAACATTTAGAACATATTTTGACATCTCTTAAGAACAAGAAGGTTTTCCCTCAAAACCAGATGCAGGCTGATCTTTGCTGCTCTTCTTACAAATTACAGAGCTATCACAAACACTAAGATACAAATAAAATTTTAAAAATTTGGACAAGTCTAGAGCTTTGAGAAATTAAGCATGACAGAGTTTTCTATAAATGATTTCTGCATTTTAAGATGACACCAGACCACTTATATGACTGCCAAGCCCTCAAAGGGATAAAGACATCCCAAATTGACCTTTGCTGAGCAACCGACCTGGAAAACATTTTCAGTTGCTACAGCTTTCAGTTTCAGAAATCTCACTCTGCTGTGGCTTCACCTGGAAACAACCTCCTCCTCCTCCAAATATGTGTAGTTTTTCTAGATATAGTTGTAGCAATGACACTGATTCCAGATGACTTTATTTCTCATATAATTTCCCTTATTATTATTATTATTATTATTATTATTATTATTATTATTATTATTACTATATTATTTTGGGGGAGTTTCTAATACAAGGGCTCTTTTTTGCTCTCTCCCTTCCAAACAGCAGCTTAGGGCTGACCATTCCTTCAGGCTCTCCATTAGCACACGCACAGGGGAGACACTTCCTCACAGCCATGACAACTTTTCCACCAGCACATTCCTTTCGAAAGATGTTGGAGGATTATGAACTGGAAGCCACGAAAAGTGGAAATTTCATTTGGTTCACATTGACCAGACTTTCAGCTTCTCCTCTGCCCTCCCTGTTGCAGAGAGTGAATCCATGGAAGCCTCTGAAAACAGCATGATTTCCCCTTTTATATTACTGAGTTTTCACCAATTATTAGCCCCTCAGAAAACAAAATATAAATAAATAACGTCTCGCGAAGCAGGGATATGAAGCTCAGTGCTACGTATGTGATAAAAGCAGGACACTGGTGACACCAGCCAGGCTCTGAGCTGAGCTTGTGCCGGTGTCACACAGAACGGGAGGGAGCAGAACTTGGATTATTGAACCACAGGGGGCTCTGATTTATAAAAACCGGGGCGGCTTTGGGAGGAGGGCCGGTTAAACCTCCCCAGGGTAAGGGGGAGACAGCGGAGGAGGCGGGCGAGGCTCGGGGCCGCGAGGCTCGGCACGGCGGCCGGACCGAGCCCTTACCGTCACCGTAGTCGGGGATGACGGCGTCGGGCCAGGGGGTCTCCTCGGCCTGGATGTCCAGCACCCGGTCGATGGACTTCTGCGCCTGCGACAGCGCCTGCTTGGCGAAGCTGGACAGCTGCGAGGCGTTGAACCAGCTCATCCTCGGCGGCTCCGCAGCGCCCGTTCCCCGCGGCTGCCCCGGGCCGGGCCGGGCCGGGCGCGGCGCTGAGGGAGCGGAGCGGAGCGGAGCGGAGCGAGGGCCCCGCGCAGGCGCCGCCGGATCCACGTCGCACCCGGGCCCGGCGCAGCCGCGTCCGGCCCGGCACGTCCGGGAGGCGGGGCCGGGGCACCGCGCCCGCCCTCACAGCGCCTCCGGAGCTGCGGCTCAGCGGCTGAAGGGACCTAAACACCGTCCGGTTCCAGTCCCTGCCGTGGACACACACACCTTCCGCTCCAAGCCCCAGCTGACCCGGCCTGGAGCACTTCCAGGGGTGGGGCAGCCGCAGCTCCTCTGGACAACCTGTGCCAGCCCCTCTCAACCCTCCCAGGAAAGAATTTCTTCCGAGTATCTAGCCCAAATTTCCCCTTTTCCAATTTGTACCCATTAATCCTTGTCCTATCCCCCCATTTCCCCTCGTTCAGTTTGTACCCATTTCTCCCCATCCTATCCCCCTATTTCCCCTCACTCAATTTGTACCCACTACTCCTTGTCCTATTCCCCTATTTCCCCTCATTCAATTTGTATCCATTAATCCTCGTCCTTTTAAACTATGCAGTTCATAGTTAAAAAATTGTGAACTTCAAACACGGCTAACACATCAAACTAGAATTCACTGGCACTCCTTAAGTCTCTGACTAAAGCAGCCAAATGATGCCCCAGAATTTTTAATGGAGGTTATAAATGCTCTTGAATGTCCACAGAAAAGCCACAGACTCGGGTGTCTTTCTGATTTTTTTATTAATAAATACCTTAACAGCACCAATGATATTTGAACATAATTTTGCAATGCTGTGCATGATGGCTGCTTGGGGACAGTGAAGAGACACACCTGTATTTTCATGTACAGTTGATAATTTCCTCCTTTTGTGTTTCTTGTAAACAAAGCCATCTCTTCCATATTTAACAGCTTCCATAACATTGATCAAATCAATGCCAAATAAGAGGGAAATCCTCATTTTAATCTACTGCTTCCTTTGGTTTAAGGTGACTCAGTTAAATCTCAGGAGTGCTAAACTTATAACCAGATTGTTGTGGTTCCTTTTAAAAACATCATCTCTTTGCATATATGTGTGCACACATGTTGAAAACAAGACTTTTGGCCACCTTAAAGTTCCATGTGTTTGAAAGTACATTAGCATGAACATTTTGACAGCAAAACCTGGGAAAAGTGTATTTCTATACATCAGAGGTCTGTACATGAATAAGCATTTATACAAATATAATCCACCAAATATTGGCTTCTACATACAATTCTGAAATATGGTGATTCATTTAGATTTCCTAACCTTCAACCATGCTGGCACTAACAGGAACATTTCAGGCTGCCTTAACACCCACAGAGTATGTTTATTTTATAAGGTGGGGACAGACTTCTCTTGCTGTATTTGCACTTTACTTATGAATAAATTAAGTGGTAAAGTGAAGTTTGAACAACATAGTCTGTGGTGTAGTAACATCAGCAACTGCAAGTTCCTGGCCATCCACAAGCCCCAGTTCTGAAACAGAAAGAAAAGCTAAATTAATTTAATTAAACCATGTGCTTTGCCTTTTCAAGAAGCCCAAAAAAATTAGAATTGCTATCCTCACAAACTGTAAATGTGATTAAATAAAGCTGCAAACAGCTTACTGGCTAAATTAATATTAATCAAATTTAACCAGGAAACAGACCTTGTTGAGAAATATATATAAAACTCTGCTGGACAGTGTGAAATTTACAGAAGTAAATTCTGTCCATCTGCCTGCACTTCACCTTTAAACAATTAATATACCTGAGAAATGTGAAACTAAAATTCAATGTGTATTGAAAGTAAAAAGACAATGAAGCAAATTCTACTGCATAATGCAAAATAAACCTAAATATCCATACAGAGGGGTGAAACTGACTTTCTCTAACTTGAAAATCAACACCTGACAGCTCCAGGATACCTTTTAGTGTCTTGGAAAGATTTGGCCTTGTTCGTTCTTCAATTGAAGCTACTGTCTGCAAATTAAAACAAAAAAAAAGGACAATTTTTTTTCCAAATTCAGTAAATTTAAGCACATTCAGAATATTAAGATCAATTATGTATGTTCAGATTACCTGTAAATAAAGTGTTTTATTTCCCCCATACATAGTTGCTGTGATTGCAGGAGATTTCATCTGCCTATATATAAAACATTTTAAAACAAACAAACAGAAGAAAACAAAACCAGGAAATCAGGTTAAAAAACACATTTTAAAATTACCTTTTATAAGTAATAAACCAACAAATTATCAAATTACTCAGAATGGTTGCAACTTACAATGAAGCATTATTTGTTAAGTAATCCAGGATCTCCTGCAATTTAGCTGATGGGGAAATCTCTATGTTTTGGGGAAGCTGGCTGCAGGCTGGACAGTTCTCCTACCACAAAACAGCACAAGAATACACATCAGGTTAAAGATGATTTTAGAAATGCTGCTAGTAAGGTCTATAAAGTGTTTATGTTGTGTTTTTCTGAAATTTTACCTCTAGAAATATTAATGGTTGTAAATATTAATGACAAAACCCATTTCCTTCTGGAGTCTGTCACTGACTGGCTCCCAACAGTACCTAAGTATTTATGAATGACAAATTTAATCTGACATTAAATCCAATATTACAAACTTTCAGATCAATTTTTGCCATAACCTCTTATTTAGATCATCTGCCCATGAGTCATCTTAGGTTTGAAAATCTTATTTTGTGGCTCTACTTTGCAGAAATAGCAGACCAGTAACACTGTAGTTTCCATTGTTAAAGCTTCAGAAATATTATTATTCAGTGCTAGGGGCCAACTGATTCAATACTGAGGTTCAGAAATACACACAAAGTGCATAAAAACAAATCAAGGAAAAATTCCTTCAAGCCTTTAATGGCACTAACCTTTCTTTCAGCTTCAAAACTGTATGTATATAATCCATCCACATCATTGAACACCAAGTAGTTGTTAAGAGGAACATATGCACTGTAATGACAAATATGTCAGCGTGGATACATGGCATTCTGCTGGAAATCATGTCTGTAATTAATTAATTAATTAATAAGAAATTAAATACCTTGTGGCTATCTTAAAAACCTCCGTGGCGCAAACAGCTGCAATGAGAAAAAAGAATTTCTTCACCTAGCTCTACCAGACATGCAGACAGCACACAGCTGGACAAAAAGTGACAGAAACAATCAAGTATAACAATCTACAAAGAGAAAAATAAACATCTGAATGCAGCTGGTAGTTCTGTGCATTAACACCATAGATTTGGCACTAATCTGAGACTGTTTCAAGCCTATGTACTGTGTCAATTTTTCTCCCCAGCCTTAAATGCTTTTGCTCTCTCCCAGAGTGATAACATTTATTCAGTCACTTACAGTTTCTCTATGGAAAACAGAAATATGACTGTAAGAATAAACCAGACACATTTAAAATTTACTATTATCCTCTCCAGGTTCTCAATTCCAAATTTTTTGTCCCACAAAATTCTCAAGTCAGTAAAGTAGAAGTGAAATGAGTTCTTACAGCATACCTGCAATTACTGCATTTGTAGAAGCTACTGCTGGAATAATTCGTTTAATCACCCCTGTAAAAACAAAACATACAGCTCTGGGTTTTCTAAGAAACTCTATTGAGAGACTAATTTAAACAGAATAATTTCAAAGGGTGATTCCAAAAGTACTTTCAGGTGTCCAGGAACTTCTGTAACAAACATGTATAATGGGATGCTGCTGCAGTACTTGGGCACTTTTTTATTTTAGCAATGGATCAAGCACATTGAAAAAAAGCAGGTATCAAACAAAGAGAACTACTGAACAAACTCTGAAAGCAAGTGTTCTGCATTTAGCAGGGAAAATTAAAACTGTTCTTTTCCTGTTAAACTGGGAAATGCACAAAGGAAAGACAGTTGAGTTTTCTATTTGGTTAGTGTTTGAAATGCTGATGAAATGAGTGTCAGCAATACTGCACTTGCATGTGAACAGAGGCAAGGACAGCAGAGAGGAACAGATGCCACAGACTTAACCAGCCTGAACTGGCACAAAATGTTGCTAAAAAAGACAATCAAGTCCCTTTGTTTTTATTCTTTGAACCAGCAAGAGTGGTCACCATGTAATGTAAACTGTGGAGCTGCTCCAAGTTAAAAATAAAATAGCAAAAAGAATGTTCAGCTTTATCCCAGATAGGTTCCTCTGATTCATCATGAATGCCTGAACATCTGATTTGTCATAAAAATATTTGTGCTGGCACAGGAAACAAGCTGCTTGTTTCTGTTTTAAGGGTGAGGAGAATTATCCCTGCACAGCTGCCAGCTTAGTCATAACAAATACAAAGAATGCCAATCCAGCCTAGGTGCAAATGCCACAACTTGGTGAAATGCCATCCCCTTACCTTGGGTGAGTCTGTAGGTAACACCTTTAATGTTAAATTGTGATGCTCTTTCTAAAGACTTCTGGTAAATCCACTGTATATGTTCAGGGTCATCTCCATCCAATGCAACACCTTCTACAGTAAAGAATTTACAGATAAATTGCAATTATAAAAGTTCTGAAACACAGCATTCTTTTGGTCTAAAAAAATCCTTGTTAAATTTATAATGAATACCCCATGAAGCTATTGAAACTTGACATTTTAAATAACCAAAGTATTATTTGTACAAACATCTTTAGTTTTAACACAAACTATAATCACTGCACAATTTACAGAGCTGTTACAGGTTACATTTCAATTCAGGAAAGACACTGTGCAGTGTGAGAAACAGGAGCAAATATGGAACTGAAGAGTGAGTTCAAGAAGAGAAAATCCATCTCCAGCTCAGAGGAGGCTTAGATTCAATGACAATGAACCACACAAGGTTAAGAGTCAGGACTGTTTTATTAAAAGCATACACCCAACTGAAGTTAATTAAAAGGAGAAATGTTCATTTAGCACCATTACAATATATTAATTACCTCCAAAAGGCTGTTCCTTTGGCCACTGCAATATCCTGACATACTCAATGCAATGCTCTGGCAGTCTGGGCATGGATGCAATGGTGCACATGGGAAAATTGACCTGGTTGGGCAGGGGAGGAAAACCAGAAGAAACCAACATACATTAGGTGTAGTACTAAGAAAAGAAACCAGCAAGGCAGAGGAATATGAAGAGATGGCAATTTCACTGGGGGAGTTACCTGTGGTGGGTAAAGTGCAAGTGTGCATTCAACACACGCTGTCATCCCAGGAATGATCACACGGACATTGCCTTTGAAACCCTCTGTCCCTCCATCTATCAGGGGGATGATGGAACTTGGGTCCAGGACACCATCTTCATAATGCAAAAATGACATCTAACAAAGAAAGGGGGTGGGGGGTTGGTTTTTGTTTGGTTTGGGTTTTTAAACAAGTTGCAGGAAGAAAAAAAAATCCTACAATTTTATTCTTAAAGCAACACCCAACTATTGAATGCTTAATGTACAGTTTATTTTAAGTGTATATAAAACACTACTTATTTGTCAGTGCACAAGACTTTATCAACCACCTTCACCCTCTACCTCCTCCCCTTACTCCCCTGATAAATGCTATTATTTGCTATATATGTTCTTATAGTTCATCAGAACAAATGGCTGAAGGTTTGGTTGAAGGTTTGATTTGTGACTTGTTGTTTTGCTTTTGTCTTTTCCTTTTTTTTTTTTAATACAGGTAGATACTCCAGATCACTGTTTTACAAACAAATTCACAATTATAAAATTACCAATTTTCTGGTCACTGAATTCTGTAACAGTGCACCTCCAAATAATGGCATTTACAAGTTGCAGCATAATAAATACTGTTTGGGTAGTGAAGAAAAAATTCACAGTGGGAGCATCCAGAGCAGCTCTGGAGCTTTCTGTCTTGACCTTCAAAAGCTGACTGCAGAAGGCCACAAGCAATGTAACCTAACTATGACACTATCCCTGCAGGGCACTGCACAGGTGTTGGCTAACACTCTCAAGAAAAGGGCAGGTAAGAGAGCCTGCATTTCATCCTGCTCACAGAAAGAAAACAGATATACAGAAAGCTGTGAGTTTCAACAGCCCTCATTCATTCTCATGACACATTCTACACAAGTATGTTTAATTTTAGTCATCTAAACTCAAGCAATAATCAGGTATTAAGAAGATTGAAAACTTTACCAGCATGCCATTTATCCATCTTCTTGCAATTATAGAGTCCAGCCCACAAACAATAATATGAAACTCTGGGGAGAAAAAAACATTATTCAAAATCTACACTAATGCAGACTTCCCAAGACAAGCACAGTATTCTGTCCATAACAGGGACAGTGACTGTAGCTCAGCTATCTCCCCCACACTGCCTGTATCACAGGTGTATTCAAATTTTGTCTATGTGTTACTTCTACTTCCAACATACTGTGGAAGACTAAAATAATTAGCAGCAAAGTACCAGGAAAAGCAGTGAGCAGCAACATCTGCAAGGGTCCCCAAAGCACCTGTGGGTGTTTGTCAGGGAAACAAATGCCACTTACGTCGATAGAAGCTTTCATCCATGTCTTGAATCTTTTTAAAATATCTGAATGCAAGCTCAGTAAAGGAATATATTCATAGTTAAGTTTATTGTTTTCTATTTGCTATCCTAAAGCCAAAGTATTGTCTAATTTATTACTGTAATTCTATACAACACCTAAAAAACTGTGATCTGAGATTAAATTCCCACAGCTGAAGCTGTAACATCTCACAAAACTAGTAAAGGGCACAATGGAATAGTTCTAAACAGCAAAGTTCAGCAGGTGAAATATTTAGGAAGCTCAAAATATGTGCTCTCACAAAGTCCTTTATCAGTAAGTGCTGCTCTGTTTATAAACTAATGCCTCCTACCAGTGCTTACTCAAAACTCTCTGGTGAATAATTCCAGTATCTCAGTGAAAATTACCATATTGCACTTGAATAAAAAGACTCAGTGGAAAAATACAAAATCATCTCTGAGCCTTTCCCATGCAGATTCCCTGTATGTTAATAGGACGGAGAAAGAATTCTCAACTCACCAGCTGAATGAATGTGTCCTTTATTGTATGAGAAACAGGATGGCAGCAAAATACTTCAGATACTCTTACCTCCCACAGAGTTTTCTAGGGTACAGAAGCCTTCAGGCCTCCCTGTGAAAGGATACGGTACCACAGCACAGCTGGGAACGCGGCTGTTCAGGAACTCTGCTGCCACTTCTGCCTTCGGCCGCCCCACATCCTTCGCTCTGGGAAAACCCAAGCAATCCCAAAAGCTTGATTTTAGCACACTTTGTCTTTCCAGTCTATATACATTGCAATACCAAATTGAGTGGCTAATTGTTACTTCAGAACAATGTATTTAATTGGATCATATTATGGCATTCAACCCAAACTATTCCAGAATCCCTGTAAAGCATCAGATGTGAGAGTCTTAGAATTAACTATGGTTATCAGCACCAAAAAAATCCACTGATATTTTTTTGTTCACTGTACTTGGATGAAAAAGTTACCAGAAGCATCAGATGTGAGAGTCTTAGAATGAACTACGGCTATCAGCACCAAAACCATCCAGTGATTATTTTTTTTTTTGTTCACTGTACTTGGATGAAAAAGGTACCAGAAAAATCTGAAATCTCAATCTGTGTGCATTTATTCCTTGGTGTCACCTTTTCCAATAGTCATTAGCTGTACTGGAATGGCAAGAACACAGATTGATTTTCTTCATGCCACAGAGCCCAAAATAAGAAGAAACCATATGCAATTTTTAGTTAATTCTGAGTACTATTGTGACATGAAGGTCCAGTAATCTTTAATGACCTCTTGTCCAACCAAAATAATGAATGTATTAACATGTTTTATTTAGGCACATTTTAAAAAACCCAGAAGTTAAACAGTGAAAATGTAAAACATCACTCACCGAAACAAAAACTGTCGATTAAGGTTAGAAACATCTATAGTATCCATGTCAATAACATGGATCTGTCTGAAGCCAGACAGTGCCTGGGAAAAGACAAGGTCAGCTTCATTTAACAGGAAATGAAATGCTCACAAAGCTCCAGAATTCACTTCACATGCCAAAACAGCAACCTTTGAAGGAACAACTGTGTTTGCTCCTCATTGCCTGAGCAGACAGGTACAGGGTCATTCTTTGTTCAAAGGGGTTTGTGGGGCTGCTAATGCTGGTATCAGACAGATGGAATTAATAACATTCCAAAGTCAAAGACAATGCTCTCCTGAAGGCAATATTGCTCTGGACTACCTAATGCTAACACAGGAAAGCCAACAGTAGGCTGATCTATAAGGGCAAACTGCAGCGTTTCTTCATGGCTGGAGTAAATCAAAAGAGCCCACTGAGTTAAACAAGCACAGAATTTAATCAAATACCATAAGCACTTCCATGCTTGGCAGGAATAGGAAAAACAAAGTTTAATTCCTTTAAAAGGCTTTTTAAAAATTCCTGTTGAGGTTTGGGATATTTTCACATAAATGAGTCTGGCCTATTGACCCAGATATCACAGTTCTAAACAAGGCAGCATTCCTCGTGGCATTCAGTGCTGAAGGAGAGGGCAAGCACAAAAATCACCTCCCTATCTAAGAACACACTGAACCTCTGACAGAAGCTCTGCCTCTTTCCATTTGTATTCAGGAGATCACTACATCTGGGAAATAACTTTACAGTAAAATTGCCTTAAAAATGTATTGTGGGTCTGATCTGGTCAAGTAGCAACATCAGTCACACACAAAGACACAATGTGAACTGCAGTTAAAGGGAAATAAATGCTGTAAAACGTGGGGTTTGGAGAAAAGAAATGAGCTGTGATGTTCTGAAGTGACTCTAAAAAATTTGAATGATATACAAAATATGACTTAAATTTTCCTTTAAGACTCCATCGTTTTAAATGTAAAGACTTTGAAACTTTTCCTTTTACATTTTCTGAACAAACAAAGCTATCTCATGCAACAGAAATCCTTGTTCTTAAATAGAAACATGGGAAAGCAGAGTAATAGCCCAAACTACCAAACTCAAATGGGATCATAACACTGATACACTGAGATAAATGAGTGCTTGTGAGGATAAAAACCACACTAACAGGATAATTAAACTTTTGCATTTCAAACACTTTGTAGCATTATAAGCATGATTTGTCTTCATTTAGTTGACTTCACTTCCCTAGATCCGGTAATTAGGGAAAATCACCAATATCAGACTGGATATAAGGCTGCACATGAACTTTTGGCTATTCTTCATACAAAGCAACTTGTTATAACTCAAGACAAGCTTTGAGATAGCTGAATAAATAACATGCAACAAATGAAAATACCACCTTTCCAGTGCATTCTTTATCTTTATTGTCTGTATCAACATGTATTTTACACATGTTGATTAGAACTTAAAATTCTAGTAGCTATATACAACCAGAACTGCAAAATTAGCTAATTAAAAAAGACAGTTTTGTCAAAGAAAAAAAGAAACAGAGAAAATTCAAAGAAGAAAAGGGTTAAAACACAATAATTACCAGGTTTTTCAGGAGTTCACATCCTAACCCTCCTGCTCCAATAACTAGCACTTTACATGTGCTTAACAAAAAATCAAGGGCCTGCAGAAAACATAAAACAAAAAATTAATACAATTTGTGCTTTACTTCATAACCCTTACAAACATGTTACCATAAATGTTCAGTGCCTACTGAGTTACAGATAAAGCAGCTTTGCATTTGCAGGAGTAATTACACATTGGACTTTAATCAGTTGTTGAGTTCATGCAGTTCCTGTATCCTCACTTAGAGAGAACCAAGACATTTGCTGATACCAATATATTACTTTTATATTACTTTTGACCATGAAAAAAGCAAGGTCCACTCTTATTATTATTTAGTTTAAGGTGATAATGCTTTCCTTCTTCAGCTATTTCACATATATATTATATAAAATAAATCTATACAGACAACATTGCTGGACAGAAAGAATTGGAAATGTTAAATATATAACTGTTTTCTGTGAACTGTTCTGCTTCACCCCAGTCTCCAACTAATAAATAATGGAACAGTACATTAAAAAGGTAACAGGAAAATACTTTCAACCAAAAGCTCTGAAACAAAATGTACAACAAAAGAAGAAAAGCAGAAGAAATATTTAAAATAGTCTACCCTACTACACACCTTATCCCGTTCCCAAAGTATACATATTAACTCTAATTTCTTCAAGTACAATAAATTCCTCCCTGTATCAAATTACTTAAAAATGGAGATTCAAATGCTGCTATTTTTCATGTGAAACTCAAAAACAGCATAATTCATACATTACTATTTTTTTATATATGGTAACAGCAAGCTTAAAGTTGACAGTGTACAACTTAAAAATACAAACTTATAAAAAGAATACAACAACATTATCTCCAAGGACTATAGTGTTCAATTGATTAAAACACAAGCTTTTCATGCAGCTTCAGTACCCACACACTGCTGGTGGTCAATTAATGAACCTGCTCACATTAATTTGCAACACACTCTACAGATACTTGATTGAAATGAAGTCTTTCTCACTTGAGTGCCTGGCTCGAAATCGGGATGTGTGAATGGTCCAGATCGCTCGAGGAACTTCTTTACATGGTTCCAGCGACCTTCCCAGTCTGCAGAGTCCCCACACCCACCATCAACAGCCATTCTGCACAGAACACAGTAAATTCAGCTGCAACATCACACAGCAAAAGCCACACCTCCAACTTGCTATGCAAACAACACCTCAATTATTGATCATTTGTACAGATGCATCTGCATATTCTTTATGCCTGTAAGTTATGCACATGAGTATTTGCATGAGTGGGTTTTATTTGTGGAACTAGAAAGCAATAATATAAATATGCACAGAGGGGAAAAACAAGCCAGGCATTTCAATAAACCCACTGATTTAACTGTTACTAGTAAAAGTTGACCTGCAGTTTAAAAAGGGCCAAGTCTTATTACTTTTATTTCCCTCCAATTTAAAGAGGAAACACATAAAGAGCTTGTTCCTTTCAATTTCGAGGGTGATTGTTTTTTCATCAGTCAAGTCTTGTATTTTTGTATTTTTTTTACAGACTTATCAGTCTGCAACTGCAATGGTGAGGCTCTGAATAAATTACAGTAACATGCCCCAACATCATCCTCTGAATCTTCAGGGTAGCTTATTTAGACAAATATTTTTTAAAGACATGAATCTTGAATGTTCTTCACCCTCAGGTGGTACCATGGAATTAGAACTGCCCCATTTCTCAGGTATCCTCAAGCCTGTCTGCAGTAACAGTCTCACTTGAAATAAAAAGGAATGTTTGCAGTTATCTTCCTTTAAATTTTCAAGGCAGAATTTTACATCAAATACTCCAATACCCTTTTCTCCTTTTGCAGGTCACTTTTAATAGTACAGAAATATAGATTTAAATTTTTAAGAGACTTACAGGAATAGTTCAAAATCAGCTCTCAAGTATTGTTCTAGTATAAGATCAACACCTACTTCCCCATTAAATAAATAGGGAAGTGAAACTCAATAAATATGATTATGTTCTACGTTAATATAAAACTAGGCTCATTATAAAAGAGCCAATCCTGAGTAGCAAAGGATGTGTCACCACTGATAAAGTGTTTTCTCCTATCTTTCTCCACCTGCTTTCTCCTATGAAGCACTATGAAAAGCACTTGTCTAATAACTCTTGGGTAATGTTCAGAATTTATTATAACAATAAACTCATCTCAAAATCAAAGGTAAATGTGGTGAAAACATCTGGAGTGAGTTCCTTTATCTTCACAGAATTCAGAACTTGGACAACACAGTGTGCCAAAGTAAGTGAACTTAGAGGCAATGGAGTCTGCAAAAGATTTTCAGTAACAGGGGAAAACTTCCCTAAACTGCAGAAATAAATAAATCATAATTCACCTGTGATGTCCCTGCCCATGGCAGTGGGTTGGAACAAAATGATCTTTAAGGTCCCTTCCAACCCAAACCATTCCAGGGTTCTATGATAATTTGATTGCAGACTGAACTCTCCTCATTAACTGTTGAGGGAACTTACTCACTACATGAGCAGTTAAATAAAACCTACAAAAATTACTTGAATTCATAAGGGTCTTTCGACCTCAGATGCACTTCTGTATCTCCTCCAGTTTTCACAACAATGTGAAAATACACATATTTCACATAATGGGAAATGGTGTAAATAATGGTTCTCTGCAGAACTCCTCATCTGCTGTAAAAGAGATTTCAGGAGGTGCATTAAGCACTGACTTAAGCAAATAAAATGGGTCAACAAACAGCACAAAAACTGCTTCTATGGATATTACAGTTTTTAGCGTTTCTGAAAATGAGTGTAGAAGCTGTGTTTGGTCACATTAAGAACACGTTCTTAAATTCTTTTATATAGTCCCTATAAACAGCTACTAAACAGCAGCACTCCTTTTCTGTTTAGGTGTGTATTTCCCTTCCTAATTGATGAAAATACAAAGATCTAGTTTCACTTTTGCAATTAGCCTACCATTCATTTTTTAGAGGGCTGGACATTGTGGAGATCTGAAAAACATCTGTAACTCAACCTGATATTTTATGTTTTATTTCACAGACAATTTTCTCAAGTGTTTATTTGTTGTGCTGTTACAGCACGACCAGGTACAAGAGTTCAACAACATTCTTATTTATTTCAATTAGTTACTTTCATTTTGAATTTTGTTTGAAACATCAGAGCACCACAGTCCTTTTATCGCTTTAAGCTCAGACTTTTCCCTGCCACCCTCCCATCTCCAAAGCTCCATGCTTTTGGGGACTCGGCATGCAGCCCTCCCACCCCACATGCCCCGGGATGCTGCGGGCCCATCCCCACACACATGCACTGCCAGAGCCCAGGCAGGCCTGCCTGCTGACCCAGGGGACACAATGGAATGGGATAGTAAGGGATGGAAGCAGATGATGTTCAAGATTTCTCAATTTTCACAGCCTTTAAGGCAGGTGCGTAGGTTTTTTAAGAGTTTTAATGCGCAGAGACAACTGTTCTGCAGTCTGGATTTTAAATTTTCAGCCAAAAGCTTAAGTCACCTGCTTCTAGCCTAGAGGCCCTCCCAGGTCCCTGACCGGCCAGGCAGCTTTTCCCCTCTCCTCACCAAGCTCTTCAGCACACCATGCCAAGCTGCGAGCCCGCCACTCCCGCCCCGCTCCTCTCCCCGGGGGCTTCCTCTCCCCCAGCCCGGGCTGCTCAAGGGCCCTGCCCCACCTACGGCAGCTCCCCTGGGGCTCCCTCCTCCCCCGCGGGCCCCGCAGCCTCCTCCCAGCCCTCAGCTCCTGCGGGGCTGCGGCTCGCCCTCACCTACCCCCGCCCCAGCAAGCGCTGCCCCTGCTCCGCTCGCCCGCAGCCCCGCACTAACCCATCCGCCAGCAGCTCCTCTAGCCTCCTTCTTTTCTTCTCCCTAAAAGAGAGAGAATAAAAGAAGGGTCAGTATCGCGCTACACAGACCGGGGAGGAGGGAGAGGGGACCCCGGGCCCGGGGCAGGGCCGGCCGAGCACGCACATACAGGGCACTTACGGTTCCTCACCATCCGCCATAGTTCCCTCTGCTTCCCACAGTGCCCCGCGAGCGGCGGGGCGGGCCCGGGCCCGGCGGGCTTAGCGCGGCCCGTGCAGCGCTGATAGCGGCGACAGAGCCGATAGTGGCGATAACTGGCACGGACACACGGCGGGGACACCTCCGCTCCCTCCCGTCCTGCCTGCCCGCACCCCAGGGATCTCGCTGCGCCCGCCTCTCTGATGGTCACAGAGTCCTGAAATGATTTGGCTTCAAAGGGACCTCAAAGCCCATCCAGTTTCACCCCTGTCATGGCAGGGACACCTTCCTCTACCCCAGGTTGCTCCAAGCCTTGTCCAACCTGGCCTTTAACACTTCCAGGGATGGAACAGCCACAGCTTATATGGGTAACCTGTGCCAGGGCCTCACCACCCTCAGAGGAAAGCATTTCTTCCTAATATTTAATCTAAACCTACTGTCCATCAGTTTGAAGCCATTCCCCTTTGTCCTATCACTCCAGGCCAATGTAAATAGTCTCTCTCCATCTTTGTTGCAGCCTCTCTTCAGGTACTGGAAGGCCACCATTAGGTCACCCCATGCTGAACCATCCCAGTTCCCTCAGCCTTTCCTCACAGCAGAGCTGCTCTGGCCTCCTCCAGACTCAGAACTTCCTGGGAGCCATGGAGAGCATCCTCAGGGACAAAGTATGGAGATCATGATGCCTTAAAGCCTTCAGGAAGGCTGGAACCCAAATGTGATCACTGGGCTGGTCACTGCCTGCCCCAATGGCTTTTGTCTTACCAGCATTCCCTGGGCAGGGACCAGGCATAAACCAGAACAGTGCAGGCCAGGAAGCTGATGAGCAGGACTAACTTGGGCTGTGCTCAAGTCTTGGGTTTCCAAACTTCAGGGATGTAAATCCTTCAGGGATGGAGCTGTGAGAAGCAAGTGCTAGCCAGACTGCTTACATTTGGAGAAGGATTTTGATGCACGGTAGTGCAGCAAACCCTGGGTGCTGTGTGATGCTCAAGCCATGGAGGCTGAAGTGTGAAAGCCTGAAAACACAAGTGTTCCAACATGGACATGGGGTCAAAACACCACAGCTGCTGGCACCAACTTTTCCCTCCAAAGGTACGGTCACCCTAATGCCCATTTTAGGAGCTCTCTAAACAGAGTCTGGTTTAGAAAGGAGACATTGTTTAATCTGCACAGGCAGAAGTTTCCGCAAATCAAACACCCCAAGGGGTAAAAAGTTCTATCTATTATATAGTAAAATTTACGTGAACCCGCCCACATACTACATATTCTCCGCCCTCCTCATGCATATTTATTTAGGTGATGTAATCTGACGCAATGCCTGAAACCCAAAGTTCTTCTTTTCATTAGGCAAATTCTATTGTCGAAATTATCAGGCGGCATCAGTTACTTTGCAAAAGGTGAGAAAGATCAGCGTGAAGACAGAAAATTCAGCTTGAAGACACCAACCCCACTAGCAGAGCCCCCCTGCCATGGGATACCCCGCAGTGCCCCCTTGGCCGGGGCTGACACTTCTCGTGGTGCCCTCCCCGCTCACCCCTTGTTTCACAGACGATGCCAAGCGGCTTCGCCACGTGAATGCCCTACGTGCATCACCACTAGCTGAAGGAACAATGAATTTACAGCGGTTATTGACAGCAGCCCCTGTCAGCTGCCAGCCCTGGGCGGTGACACACGCCCGTCGCTTGTGCTGCTGCTCGTTCGCTCTCGGGTTCAGCAGCGCGGAGCGGCGGGGCCGGAGCGGAGCGCGGCCGCTGTCGGTGCCGGTGCCGCCCCGGTACCGCCGTCGCTGTCGGTGCCGGAGCCGCCCCGGGGCGGTGCCCGGCGCTCCCGAGCCTGCGCGGCGGCGGCGGCGGCCATGGAGGTGCAGGTGGCCCCGCTGCGGGCCTGGGACGATTTCTTCCCCGGCTCGGACCGCTTCGCCCTGCCCGACCTCAAGGACATCTCGAAATGGAACAACCGCGTGGTCAGCAACCTGCTCTACTACCAGACCAACTACCTGATGGTGGCCGCCGCGCTCGTCTCCATCGTGGGGTCAGTGCGCGGCCTCGCGGTGCGGCCGCAGGGCCGGGGCGGGCGGTGCGGTGCCCGCGGTCCCCTGTCCCTGGGTATGGGCTCTGCGACCCTGCCCGGTGCCACGGGAAAGGGCCCGGCCGGGATGTGAGAGCACAGGGGCGGGGGAGCTGCCTTTTCCTTTCCTCCTTTCTCCTTTTCCCCTGTTTTCCCCTTACCCTTTTCCCTCCCCTTTCCCCTTCCCGCCCCTCCTTAAACCCCCGGTGTGGTTTAAAAATGCAGCGGCCTGGTTTGCAGCCTCCCTCGGCGCTCGGTGGCAGCGGGGTTCGCGGTGTGTCGGTGGGGTGTGCCCGGCCCCAGGGCTCCCTCCCTGTGTGTGTTATCTCCCTTTCCCACGGGCTGCTCCTCCAGCCGGTGCCCGGGGCGGGCGCTGCGGGCACCGCGCCCGACCGAAGGCAGCGATGCTCGAGGCGCTCGGGGTGCGGGATGGCGCTGCTCGCCGAGCCGCATCCTGCGCAGCGAGCTGTGCTTCCTCCCCAGCCTGCCCAGCGGGGCTGCTCAGGCTGAGACACGCTCAGCTTGGAATTTAAAAAAATGCATCGGTAAATTCTGCTCTCAGTTGCTGTTCTAAAGTAATGTTCAGGGAAAGCCGTTCTTATTTCTGATCTAGATCATACAGAAAAAGTTCGCTATAAAATATATAAAGTACCCCTTCATTTCCTTCTGGTGGGCAGGATTCAGACCTTGGAGGTAGGACCGTCTGCTATTGTGTCACACCCAGCTTTCCTAAAGGGAATAAGGAAATAACCTTATAATCACCTTCTGAATCAAAGGCTGTGTGACCTATGTGACTCTATTTCAGGTACTGCTCTAGGATCTTTGGTCAGAAAGCTCTTAAGCAAGACATGCAGCAGAAATGATGATTAAGCTTTTAATATGGAAACTAAAATACTCCACTCTTCTCAACAAGCAATGCACAAATGCTTAAATTGGAGAACTGCCCAGCCACCAGGCCAGAGTGGCTTTGGCTGAAGTACATCTTATCTCTTATGTTGCAGAGGCTTAAAGTGATTCCCCTAAATCAATTTTTTTTTTTTGCGGGGGGTAAGCATTCTGCATCCTGTCAGGGCTTCTGAAGCTGTTGACCCAGCATCTAAGTTGATAACAATTCTGTGGCTCACAAGAGACTTTGACTTGTGCTCAGTGGAAGGATAGGCTCAGAATCTTGCCTTATGTTCTTGATGTATGTGATAGTTTTAGATTCAGTATAGTGGCATAGGCCTTGTTCTTGTCTATTTTGGTGGGGATATGTCACAGTGATTTTACAGACTACGGGGCTGGCAAAATGAGACTTCCATGGTCTTGCTGTTCTTCTCTCACTTCATTCTAGACTTGTGTGTTCATTACCCTCATTAGCAGCACAATGCTGTAACCAGCTCTCAATGAACAGATAAATCACAGAGTCCCTGGAAAGCAGGGGGACAGCTCTTCTGCTCAAGAAGATGGGAAAAGGCTGTAAATAATTTTGGTATCTCCGAACAGGGTATCTCCCTATAAAACAGGGATGGCAGCAGCTTTTACTCACCCTCCTAAATTCCTGCTTTTGAACTCTGATTGCTTTTCTACAGATGGGGGGAGATTTCTCTCCCACTTGTTTCCCACTAATCTGCTGAGGTGGGAGGTGGAGGAGGAAGAGAGCCACAGAAGATGGAAACTAATATCAGAACTGCAACTATAATATCTTAATGTTGAATGATAACCCTCTGTGTTGAAAACTTATGGGTGAACAAGGCCTGAAGTGAGATCTTTATCTCACTTTATTTTTTTATTGCATGTCTTACGAGTCTTTGGTTATATGATGAACCTGATTCTTCTAACATAGAAGTAAAATCAGATGGAAGAATAGTTCTAAAGGAGATGGGATAATACCTCAATAAAGAAAAAGTATCCATTTGTTTTAATAAAAATACTTTTCATTTGGCCAGACTGTGGCTTTGGAAGAAAGGTAAAGAAAGTTCTCCTGATAAATTTAAACTGATGACTAAGTTGTCTTTCACTTCATTCTGTAATGGGCAGGAACCCCTGATAAATGATGAATCATGGCTTTTTAGGAACTCCAGGGCTGTGTCCAGGCCTAAGGGCAGGATTATTGGAACCACTAAGAAAGTGGTCTTCTTGTGATCAAAACTAAACCTATGACCAACTCTACCTGTTTATAAACCATCTAATTGTATAGACAGACTTGAAATGCAAAGATGATATTTTCAGCTGTTGCAGTGCTGTGGTTGTGCTGGGCTGACACAGAAATTGTAGCCCAGAGCTTTCTTGATACTGGAAATACTTTGTGCCACAGCTTTAGTTTACTGCCCCTCCTACAACAAAGCTGAGCTCTCCAGCCTTTTACCTTCTCTCCACAAGGTGTGGAATAACCTTACCCTGAGCACAGTGGAATTGTAATGATCTTTTCTGCATTGTGTCCCTGCCCTTCTCCGTCCATTTGTCTTCTCCTGTAGCTACTCTTACCTGTAAATTAAATTGTGCTTTGCAGTAATGCAGATTTTACTTTCAGCCTTCAGGACTGGGTAGAAAATAAGAAACCAGTGAACAAGAAACTAAAATTTGTGAATTAGTGCCACTCCACAAATACAGGCTGGTGGTAGCAGCCACATTCCCTCCCTGCAAATTCCTTTAAGGACTCTGGACTTGTCTGCCTTTTCTTTTCTTCCCCCCTACAACTCTGTTGCAGTAGACTGCTGATAAAAAAACAAGCTCTTGACAAAATTCTGCCCTTTCTCCTAGTTATAGAAGAACTGGACTCCCTGTTCTTACCCTGAGCTAGGGCCCTGTCATTGTGAGTCCTGTATGAATTTTTATTAAAATCAGGGCCTTCAGTGCCTCCCACATCTTGAAACTTCCCTCAAACAGTCAATTTAGTTAATAAGTGAAATTTGTCTGTTCTTCCACCTACTCCAACAAGGCCTCTCTTATCATGGAGTTCAAACTTAACTACTT